CTGCTGCTATGGGCTGAGCCCTGCTATGACCTGATTACCTGGTCTAATTCACATGACCACCACCCGAGCTGGGTGTTCCTACGCCTGCTTCACACATGAGGAAATGGAGGTTCAGAGAAATCAAATCACTTTCCCAAGATCACACTGAGTAAGCAGTTAAACCAGGAACTGAATGCAGGAGCATCTGATTGCAAAACCCAAATTCCTTTTGCTTCACCAAGCTATTCTCAGAATCTTCCATGCACTCACAGTTCAGAAATGGGTGAATGCCACCTGAAGAAGGAGGCTAGTGAACTGACACAGGTTTGCAGAGAGTTCTTTCAGGGAAACATATGGAAGGGGAGAATTTGTTCTTTCTGGGGGAGCTGGGAGTTGGAAAGCCTTAATAAGTTGCCAGAAGATTTGGGAATTTGATAAATGGTTTCACAATGGTGACTGAGGGTGGAAAAGTTTCCTACACCAAATACTGGTGGTTAGTCTTGGAGGCCATGGCAGCCATGGCACAGGCCAACACTACTTCCAAATTGGTCCATCTGGGTGCCAGGAGTTTAGCCCAAATGCCTGCTGGTACCTGCTTAAGTAATGACTGGTAACCAGGCAACCCAGTCAGAACATTGTTTTGTTTGAGTCACATTGTGAGTGCTGTGTGTGTGTGTGTGTGAATACTACATAATCATGGTTTTAATCTTACACAGTATACTTTAAATTTAAATGAAATCAATGCATGTTCAAGCCTATGGCGATATGGAATAAGGTAGTAACTCCTAATTATGTGTCACCATCTCTTCCTGCCCTTGTCCCTTCACTGCAGGCATCCCTGGAGGCTGCTGGCTCTTCATTCTTTCCTTCAGGGAATTAATCTATTTTTCTAGACCTGAGTGACTATAAAATTCCTATAAAATTAAGCTTAAAACTACCAGCAAAGCATGGCTTTAAAATGTACTGCATAATGCCTTCTTTGTCTGCTCCCAGGGCATTTGTGAGGGAAGCACGGTGGGCGGCCAGAGCCTGTTAGAAGGGCTCTGGCACAAGGCAATTAGGATGATGTTAAATCTCTCCATTTCCTAGCTGTGTGGCCTTGGGCAAGTTACTTAACCTCCTTCAGCCTACATTCCTGATCTATAAAAGAGTGAAAAAAAAAACGGTCCTAGTCTTAGGACGATTGTGAGGATTAACGAAACCATGCAAAACCAATCAGGTACTGGTTTGTTGTAAGTAACCAGTAAGTGCCAGTTGTAATGCTAATGCGTATTATTTGTACCATTAGCGGGATGAGTCATTTGAGGTGACAGTGATTTGAAACCCATGAAGCACTGTGAAAATGGGAAGCATTGTTACCATTGTGTTCCTTATTGAGGAGTGTGATCCAATGAGAACAGTAGAAAGAACACCGGACAGGAAATCAGCAAAATAAGATCCTAATGCTGCTCCTGCCACCGTCCAGCAGTGTGACTTTGGGCCAGTCTCTCTCCCTTCCTGAGCCTCTGTTGCTTATAAATGAAGCAGTTCAATTGGATTATCTTGAAGATCCAGCCCAGGTCAAAAATTCTACGATGCTATGAGGGTTGGAGCAAACAACTTACATAGCAAATCTTACACAGCTCCTGGAATCAAGGAGAAGGTCAGTATGAATTACATTGATCATGGCTAAAACATATCTCTGCAGGTGACAAACGCCAACCCCAAGTGTAATAATCAGAAAGAGTAACCTAGTGAGTGCTGATGAGGCAAACTATTCCTACCAGTCGAGAGCTTTGGAAGACAGCGTGGTGGCAGAAGATAAGAATTTGTAACTATAATGGCAATTCTGAACTAGACCAAAAGAAGGTGAAATTATGTACAGTGGCTGTGATGGCAGGTAAGGAAGTGGGGGCAAGAACCTTTAAAACTTTTTGGATTTGTGGGTAGGTATGCTGTGCTGGCACCTTCCTCACACAGCTGGCAGGACTACTTGCTTTTACCTTCCTAAAGTTCACTGAGCACCTCATGGAGGTAAATTCAGAGGCTACAGAGACAGCCTCTTTTCTCCAGGAGATGAGAATTAATTGGATAACATACCTTTACTATGGAAGATACTTACATTCTTAGCATAGTCCTGTATGGTGCTTATATTGTTTATATATTGTCTATTATTCTGTGAAAACAGAGCTGTTTGTGTATTCAATTTTGGATTTCTTCTCCACCCTCAGCCCTCTGGCAGTTTCTGGATGTTAAATATTATCTCTTCATGTGAGTTGTACCAGAGGAAGAGTCATCTGTTACTCTTTTACTTTCTAATGAGCCTTTAAGCTGATTTGCAGGGCAGCTATCGATCCTTTTGTTGTTTTGTTTTGCTTTTTTTTCTTTTAAACCCCAGAGGACTGATCAGTTCAGATTTAGCTGGTTGATCTTAATCTCCCCAGAACTCAAATTTTATTCATCCTGTCCCCTTTTTCTACCTCACCCCCCAAGTAAAACAAGACCAGAAACAATAACCAAAAATAGACAGTAAGGTGTGGTGGCAGCATTTTTGTGGATAGGCTAAATATTTCTTTTGCTACTATAGCAACTACTATCAAACGCCTTGCTACTTACCTCTGACTGCTCTTTGGAAATGTGAAGTTATTTTGCATTTAAGTGCTTCAATCACCTCAGTTACCTAAAATACCTTCATTTCCCTTCAAGATTCTTCTTAAAGCATTTTTACTATTTTCTTCAGATATTTTCATAAACGTACAATGCAGAATTGATAGACTTCTCCACTCATTGATTTTCATATTCCCCGAGAATGACAAGTATATTATGAAAACTATAATAGAAAAATTTTCTATAAAAGCATTTAATTAGAAATAAAGGACTTGATGCTTAAAGATACTCCAATTATGTGGAAAGTTAATACTAGATAACTGAGTGCTCATTCAACAACTCAGTAGATAAATATCTATTAAATGCCTAAAAGTGTCAGATACTAAGCAAATACTGTAAACATAAAGGAGATTAAGAAATGGATGCAGTTTTCAAGGAGCTCAACTGAAAAATTCTTCCTTTATATCTTGTTTATGAGATATTAATATATTTAAATATTTTGCAAAACATTTTCCACATATAACAACTCATTTCATATGCAGAATAGTCAATCCTGGTTTCATGCTTCTTAAATTTGAGATTTTTTGTTGCTCACTGTTTTTGCCAACCAGATTTTTATTTATTTATTTTCTTCAGTGTTGGAGATCAAACTGAAGCCCCCCCCCCACATGTTAGGCAAGTGTTCTGCCATTATGCTACACTCCATCCCGAGGTTGTTCATTTTGATTGTGGCAGTGTTCCTGTTTCTCCATTATTCCTTCTTTCTTTCTTTTCTTTTCTGTTTTGGTGCTGGGAATTGAACCCAGGACCTCCAGCATGCTAGGCCACCTCTCTTTACCTAAGCTACACCTCCAGCCTTTTAAGCCTCAGTGCTTAATAATTAACAACTTACACAGTGCTTTCATGTCTCAGTGGAAACAGTTTTTTCTTTTTTAATTTTTAAATTTTATCTTCAAATTACCGTAGATTAAAAATACGAAGGGATCATTGTGATAATTCCATACATGTATACACTGTACCTTGAACAAGTTCACCTTCTCACCTTCTAGTCAGTTTTCTCCTGTGTGTGTGTGTGTGTGTGTGTGTGTGTGTGTGCGTGTGCAGGTGTGTATGGGTGGGGGAGAGGCTGAAATGACTTCTCATATTCTCCTTGAGTGCTATTACAATAAGTAACATCATTGGTACTTGTTCTTAGATCCTTCCCTACCCCATCCTCTAGGCCAAAACCCTTTTTTTTTCTGGTGGTACTGTGATTTGAACTCAGGTCCTCACTCTTGGTAGGCAGGCGCTAGTCCAATTGAGCCACTCAGTCAGCCCTTTTTTGTATTGGGTATTTTCAAGATAGGGTCTCCTGATCTATTTGAGCCAGCTCTTTGTTGGCTTCAAACCATGATCCTCCTGATCTCTGCCTCCTTAATAGCTAGGATTACAGGCCTGAGCCACCGGTGCCTTGCTCTAGGCTGTAATCTTGGAAGTTCGTTTCCACTTCATTTTTGCTCTCCTTTTCCCTCTTTATGCCACTTCTGTTCGTAACTGTTCAATTCCTTCTCTTCACAGAAGAGTTAACTGAGGCCAAGAGCCATCAAGTATCAATGCCAAAGTCACACAAACAGGTGGTAGAGCTGGGCTTTGAGCCTGTGACTTATGCTCTTTGACCACGTGTCTGTAAATGCTACCTGTGCGACACATTCTTTCCAGCCTAATTTGGACCTATCATATACTCCTAGTATATAAATATTTAGTTACTGTTGTAACAGCGTCTGCCAGTTTTATAGTGTTTCACAGATAATCCTTTTATGCTTTTAGTTCTTCCAGAGCGTGCCTGTTCACCTACAAATTATGTGGTCATCGAATCAACATTTATTGAATATCTACTAAGTGCTACCGTCAATAGAGGCATTTGGAACATGAAGACCACAGCTCTTGAGTTGACTTTACTTGGGAAGTCCTCTAGGTTTGGGTAGGATCGGTGAATATCAGATGATTAGCAACCTGCAGTTTTAGTGTAATTGATTCTGTGTGAGAACATAAGCAGGAAGACTAGAACTCCAGCAAGGTGTTCAAATGCAGAGATCAAAGCATTCACCTACGCATTTAGGATTTCTTCCTTACAGAGGACCCCAGATGGGTATTTAAATGTTATCAAATGGTATTTTAAGAGCCTCCCAAATTTGCTACAAAAATGCCAACGAAGATTAACCTTCGGGTAATCTAATCCTTCCACTGATTTTTTTTTCTTTTTCCCCTCCAGCGGACCCCATGCGCAGGGAGGACTGCGACAGCACGGGATCAGACACTCCAGGCTCTGGTCGGAGGCGCAGGGCGCACTGTGGGTGGAGCTGGGCAGTCCCTCGGCCGCCTTTCCGCTCTGCCGCGGGCGTGGCCCCTGCTGTCCCGTTCTTCCTGCCATGCGCTGGCCCCTCCCTCTCGCGACTTGTACGGCTGGCCATGGCGGCGCTGGTGTGCACGCGGTGGCTCCCTCGGTCGTGGCTATGCAGGTGCAACTCCGAGTCCTCCCTGAGTCCCACAGGGTGACCCGGGGTACGCCTTGAACCAGGGCCGGTGCCAACCCTCCCTTGTTCTCTGTTGCAGGAGGCCCGGGCAGGGTTGCGGCCGGCACTACCGAGCCGCGCTTTGCACCACGCTGAAGCAGCCCCTGGCCATCGAAGAGGTGGCCTCCCGCGCTGTCCAGCCTCACGAGGTAGGGTGAGGGATCCTTCGACACCCGATGACCTTCCGCTTCTCTCCGCCGCACATCGCAGGCTTCCGGCCTGAATCAAGTTCCCAGTTCCCAAGATAGGGGGCGACCGCGAGACCCCAGCACTGCTGGGGGCTGGGCCGGTGCGGGTCGAAGCCCTTTCAAGTTCACAGAGGGTCAGAAGTGCTTCGTGAAGTGTTCCCCCAAACACATGGCGAGGCCTCTTTCTGAAAGCCCCAGAGCTGTTGCCTTAGAAACAGAGAATTCTGATTTGCACACAGTTTTGCATAAGTACCTGGAAATTGTTGATTTAATACGGATAAATGGACCCTTACCCTTTGCCTTATTCCTCTTCAGTTAGTGTCAGATTATGTGCCTTTCCGTGTCCCTTAAACCAGCCCTGGACCCACCTTTACCTTTACTTTGTGAATGAATACGTGCCCTGTGCCCCGACTGGTGTTCTGCAGTGATTTGGGATGGGATTAGTTTAGTAGTTTAGGACTGAGTGCAGAAATGTGGAAATCACTTTGGCCTCTGGTGACACAGTGTCACCTGGTGTGCAGAGAGAAAACCTGCAGCAGAATGAAGCAGGCAGTGAGCCCCCGTGTGTGTGTGTGTGTGTGTGTGTGTGTGTGTATGTGTGTGTGTATATGTATGTGTGTGTGTGTGTGTGTATATGTATGTGTGTGTGTGTATGTGTGTGTGTGTGTGTATGTGTGTGTGTGTGTGTGTGTGTGTATGTGTGTGTGTGTGTGTAACCACTGGTGAGAGGGAGAAATGCAGCTGGCAGCCCTGAAATATCACTTACAGTGTCAGGCAAGTGGAGCCTGTAGCTAAAATGGATGATTTGGATGAACACCTGATGGCAGCCTAGGATTCACACGCTGAGATAAATCATCCTTGAGTCATTCTTTATTGTTATTATTTGGTGGTTTTTGAGACAAGGTCTCCCTATGTAATCTAGGCTGGCTCTGAACTCTCTATCCTCCTGCTCAGCCTCCTGAGTGCTGGGATTACAGGTGTGCACCACCTCCCGACTGAGTCATTTTTAATCAAGGTGGAGTGGCTTGAGGACCCATGTGTGGTATGCTTGTCAGTAACTAATGTGTCCTGTACCCAATGTGCACAGGCTGAAGGCTGGCCTCCTTGGTTCATTATTTCTCCAGATTTTGCATTGTAAGGAATTAGCTCATGAGAGCTGCAATTATGTTATTTTTATTCAACATTAAATCCCTGTGGTTTGAAATGGGTCCTGGTATGTGGCAGATGCTTAAAAAAATCGTGGAATGAGTGAATTTTGTAGATAAAAATGTCTTCACACCAATATGGCCACCTCTGTACTAAATTTAAACAAGCAAAAAAAAATATCTGTTTTGGTGCCCAGCCATCATTTTCTGTGTGATTCTAACCCCTGTTGAGATGTGTCATCTAGCACAGTAGCTCCTCAGCGTGCATCAGAATCATGTGGGTTTGTTAAAACAGATCGCTTGGGCTTTGCCTCTTGAGTTTCAGCAGGCCTGTGGTAGGGCCTGAGAATTTAAATTTCTAAAAGGTTCCCAGGTGATACTGATTCTGGTGGTCTGGGACCACTTTCTGAAACTCACTGGCATAGAGAAACTACTGTCCACACCACTGAGGTTCTGCCTCAGGGCTGGCTTTGCCTTGAGCACAGAACCTGGCCTCCAGGATTCCAGATTCCTAACAGAAACCTTTCCATTTAGAACCCTTCAATGGCTTCCCATTTTTCCTAATATGAAGGCCACTATCCTAATATAGACCTAAACCCTTGTGAAGTGTGGTCCTGTCTCCCTCCATCTGTTGTATTTTAGGCTCACTGGTTTTTCTTTTTTTCTTTTGTCCCTGATGCAGGGCTTTTGCACATGACATTGCTGTGTCAAGCTCTCCTCTCTCCCCCATTTTGCACAGTTATCTCACCACCATTTATTCCTATCTTCAGTACTTTATGTGAAGTTATAATTTAACACATTTGGCTTCATTATTATTTGGTTAATGTCTGTCTTTTCTACTAGCCTTTTAGCTCCACTAAACAGAACTGCCCATTTTGCCTTATGGTTGTATTATGGCTCTTTGTTCAGTACCTCACATATTGTTGTCACTGATTCGGGAAATCTTGAATAACTGAATGAACTTTGGCTCCAGGATGTGTACCATTCCTTTTTGCTGCTCTGTTTCCTTTACAGGTCAGAGTTGATGTTCATTTTTGTGGCATTAACTTTGCTGATATTTTGGTCTGCCGTGGTCAATATCAGGAAAGGCCCCATCTTCCTTTCACACCTGGTGAGTATGGGGCACCAGTGGCTGCTTCAGGAAAAAACCATCCTGAGAATGTTTGGAATCGCGTGCATCCTGCCAGACAGTGCTCTGATGGGTTTTACCTGCCATCAATGAGTTTTTTATGAGATATGTCAGCATCATTGTTAATAAGAATCCCTGGATTGTGAGTCCCTCAGAGTAGTTTCCATGCTTCTCTTATTCACCATTGTAACTGCCAGTTTAACATTGTACCTGGCTCATAGAAGATCCTCAGTAAATACTTTAAAAACGAGTAAATGAATATTCACACATCATTATGTCCACCAGAATTCTGTTTATCGGAATCGCTTCTTGTTAGTCCTGGGACTTGAACTCAGGGCCTTGTGCTTGCTAGGCAAGTGCTCTACCACTTGAGCCACATCCACAGTCCTTTTGCTTTTAGTTTGTTTTTTAGATAGGGTCTCACACTTTTGCCCAGACTGGCCTTGGGCCATGATCCTCCTATCTCTGCCTCCCAAGTAGCTGGGATTACAAGTATGAACCACCACATCCAGCTTTGGTTGTGTCTTAACAGTTGGAACTATTTCCTTCTGTTTGTATTTGAGAAAATGCTGAAGAGGGAGAAGATGTCACATACTGAGTTATTTCTCTGGCAGCTCATGTAGGAACTGGTGATCATTAAATTCAGAAATTTCAGAGTAGGAAGAAGAAATTCATCCAGTTGAGTCAAGTACTGTCTGAAGACACACAGTTCATATCCTTGAGGCCCTCATAGCAGAGGGGGGCTATCATATTTGGGGTTCTGTAGGAGTCTGCAGCCCCAGTGATCAAAGTCAAAAGTACCTGTGCATCTGTGGTTCTCTGTGCTTTTGTACATTCTTGAAATGATCATTTGTGTCAAGGTAAAGACTGGGACTGCCATAGCCTTGTAGACTGCGATTGTGAAGTCTTATGCTTACTCTCCATTGTTCTGGGTGCAACACTTTACCCCTCTGCCTATGCTGAGTGGTGATACTTAGACCTCACCAGCTTCCAGCAGCTAATGAGATGGCCTGTTGATCTGGGTTTTCTTATCTCTGTGTGCTAGGCTTTACAGACAACCTAATCTTTAAACAACGTTTTAGGAATGGAGTTTTCTGGGACAGTACTGGAGACAGGTGCAGATGTCAACACAGTGAAAGAGGTAAACTAGTTGAAATGTGGGGAATCAGTGTGTGAATAGCTATGAGGAATGTGTTAACCTCATTTGTACCCTGAAAGTCTTGCTTCTCAAGGTCTTTGCCTGCAGACACCCAGAGGAATCTGAGATGGAAGGGGAAGAAATTAATTCTGAATTTGGGGAAGGAATCTGGTGGGCTTCTAGCTTCATAAAGCTCTTTGTTGTGACTAAAAGGCAGCACTTCAGTCCTTCATAACTAAGAGGATAAAGAATTCTCAAGACCCAGGTTTATATGAAAGAAACTAACACTGAGATTCTAACTCCTATCAACCTTTTTCCATACTTTACCCCACTGTTGTCTAAAATGTGCTGAGACTGAGAGAATTGCTGTTTTATTTATTAACCATTAACTCTGAACAGATATTGAGGCCAACCTGTGTCTTATGGGATCAGAGCTGTATTTTTTCTTTCATTCTTTGATTAATTCAGGAAGAAATGAATGCAAGGCCATGCATGTGAACATATCTATAATACTATTTTCCCTTTAGGGAGATTGTGTTATTGGTGTGAGTATCTTACATGGGATGGCTGAAGAATGCATCACTGACCAGAAGGTACCCTACCTCTCATCATCAATGTTTATAGACTTTTTTTCTCTTTTGTTTTCTGTAATTCCTACCTCATTCTTCCCTCTCTTCACTTTTCTTTGCATTTGTTTGGTCATATCTTTCTTCTCAGCCAAGAAGTTATTTTCATTCAAATGCTAACCCATTTCTCTTTACTGGTGTGACAATCCTCTCATAGAACTTTGTTTGTGTAAAGTGTGTTAATGAAAAGGGGCATTTTGTTTTTGTAGTGCTTGAGCAACTGGCTGGCTGTCAAATTGGACCATAGGTAGTTTTCATAGAAAAACTGGCTTGGTGCATTGAACTGGATGTTATGAAAGAGATAGGCTTAAAAATGGAGTCAGCCAGGGTGGCTGTTGAGCCTGTATGGTTGAGCAGGATGTGAATGGTGTTCCCTAGTGGTGTACATTATACAGATCCCCTCCTCCCCCTTCTTCACATTTATTGGGGTAAACTTTATATACCATACAGTTTACCTGTTTCAATACTGTGATCTGTGGTCTAGTCTTCATAAATTGGTTACTTTTAGGGTTTTGAAGTTAGATGCACCCCAATCCTGAACTCTGTCATGGGTTTTTTGGTCTTGGGTTTCCATTCAAATTAGTCACCCTTGAATCAAATCACAATATTTATTGAGCAGCCTTTGCAACCAAGCACATATTGTTAATACCTAACTCACTGTTCTCTTTTTATAGAACCTGTGGCAGGTTCCAGAAAAGGTCTCTCTAAGAGAAGCTGCTACCTTACCTATATCTTATGGCACAGCTATTTTGGCTCTGGAGCATCGGGCCCATACCCAGCCTGGGTAAGGACTATGAAAGTGGCAGAAGGCTAGATGGTTCCCTTCTTTGACATTAGGCATGCCCAAGAAGACTTTTACTATCCCTTCCTTTCCCTTCCCTTCCCCTTCCCTCTCCCCTTCTCTTTCCCTTCCTCTTCCCCTTCTCTTTCCCTTCCTCTTCCCCTTCTCTTCAGTCCCTGTTCATTTTGGCTGAGGGAAAAGCCAAAAGGAGGTAATCACTTGAGACTGGTGTCTGGTAACTGTGGGGGCATTCTTTTGTCTGGCAATGGTAGACTGTGAACTTGGCCAAAATGAATTTGGAAAAATAGTTCTCTAAGTCCTGACCACTTTGGGAATCACTTCATAGAAACCCTTAAAGTTTAGAGAGTTCGTTTATTTTTATTTTATTTTATTTTTTGGGGACAGGGCCTTGCTATATAGTCAAGGTTGGCCTGAAACTCACTTCATAGCCCAAACTGTGGCTTCAAACTCACAATCTTCATGCCTCAGCCACCTGAGTGCTGAGATTACAGGTGTGTGTCATCATGCCCAGCTGACAGTTGGTTTATTTAAACTTGTTTTATATGAGTTTAATGGAGCCCGTGGTATTTGTTTCTTTGAGGTTTGGTTGGGTGTTCCAGCACTCAGAATTGTTTCCAACTGGTAGGTTTAGCTGAGTGGTGGCCATTATGAGACACTACCTTCTAAATTAGTCAGTGTTTAGTATGAGAATGATTTTAAGACAAAATTTCTGAAGCATAAGTTGGGGTGATTTCTCAAAGAAACAGTTGCCACTGCCATGAGGGAGAGTCTACCTAGAGAGATTAAGGGATCTTTGTTCTGGGAAGTCTTCAAAACTGGACCAAATTAGCACTGACCCAGAAGCTACGTACACACCCCATCCCTCAAGGCTGGAGAGGGATTTTCATGAAGGTTGGAACAAAACAATCTCTAACATTCTTGCTTTTGTGTGTTCTAGTTCTAACATGTTCCTGCATCACGTTGTTGGGTGAGGTTTGAAGGTTTTTGCAGGAAGTGACAGTCTTCTTTCTCTGTCACAGAGAAACTGTTTTAGTGACAGCAGCGGCTGGAGCCACAGGACTTGCAGTGATAGATGTGGCAACAAATGTTCTTCAGGCCAAGGTATTTGCATGTTAGAGTCTCTGTTAAAAATACCTCCAGTTTTCAGACATGGAATTTGTTCATTCACTTATTAAAAACCCTGTGCAGGGCACTGGGGATATATAGTAACCTAGTGTAGGGTCTTGCCATCTGTTTGTTTACAGACTAGGAGATGACTTAATAATATATCACTGTCCCTTCAGTTACTAGCACCTGGCAGTGCTTCTCACCCATGGCCTCTGCAGATGCTCTTTTTTCTACCCATAGTGCTCTGAATGGGTCTTCCCCTGAGATTCAGATTTAAGCTCATATGTCTCTTTTTCAGAGAAGTTTTCTTTGTCCTTAGGCTAGGTCAGTCTCCTCTCCCCACTACCTATCTGTCTGTCTATCTATCCATCCATCATCTATCTATCTATCTTTCTATCAGCTATCATCATGGTAGGTGGTACTCAGGGCCTAGTATTTGCCAGGCAGGTACTCTACTACTTGAACCATGTCTTCAGTCCTCCCACTATTTATATATGATTTCATAACACTCTATCTTTCTGTTTCTTAGTACACACTTCATCATGAGGTTATTCCTTTTTTTCATTTTTATTAGCATACATTAATTTTACAGGGGGGATCCATTGTTTCATTTCTGAAATGCTTACATTATACATTGGTTAGGTTCTTCCCCGTCATCTCTCCCCCTCATCCTCCTCTCCACTCCACCTATAACAATTGCAGGAGGTTTCAATAATCTATTTCATATATGTGTACAGGAGCACATCAACCATATTCACTCTCCTTCATGTTCTCCAGTCACCCTCCCTGCTCCACAAATACCCACACCCACCCATAGGACCTATTTTACAGTCTTGTCCTTCATTTTTCATTCCAAAGTCAGTGTTCAAAAGGGTTTCTCGATGTAGTTCAGCTGTGACTATATTGTACTTTGGTCAGTTCAACCTCCTCTGTTACTCTCCCTCACCCTTTCCTCCTACCCTCTATTATTCAACAGCTTTCACTACGTATCGTTGTGTCTTCTACCTGCACAGATGCTATGTATTTCCATATTGTTGTCTATCATTCTTTTTTGGTTACTCCTTTATTTATGTCATTATTAGAGTAATGTCTCCCTCCTACTGGACTGTAATCTCCATGGAGGCAGGGAAAAGGTCTGTGTGTTTCACCACTGTAGTTCTGGCATCTAGTATGGTGCCTGGAGCATAGTAGGCACTCAAGAACTATTTCTTGAATGAAAGAACTAGTGAATGAATAAATGAATGAATGAAAAAAATGAATCATGTCTGCACAAGGATTTCTCTTTAAGGCTGTGGGTATTGGAGAAGAGAGACATTTAGGATGACTTCGAGGGACTGGTAATTGAAACAGGGTAAAGGGAGGCAAAGGGCATTTTAGTAGTGGAGGACATGTTAGAACACCAAAAAATAGGAACTAGTATTCAGGGAATTGCAAATGGAATCTCTGGAACAAAGGACTTGTGGGGGATAGTGAAAGGTGCTCTAGTGAAGCAGGAAGCTATAAGGTCAAAATTTGAATGCTTATTGCAGATTCTTAGGGGCTATTGAGAATTTTAAGTGGGAGATGACATGATCATCTTTGCTTTTTAAAAACTTTTTTTTAGCATATATTAGTTGTGTAGGGGATTTCACTGTGACATTTCCATATATACTTACAATATACCTTAGTTGGTTCATCCCCTCCATCATTCTCCCTCATCCCCCTCCCCCTACAAAAAATGATTTCAACAGGCTTCATTGTTCTATTTTCAAATAAGTCATAAAACACATTGACCATATTTATCCTTCTTTACCCTCTTAATTCCCCTCCCCTTCACAGTATTATCCTTCTCCAACAGGACCTGTTTTATATTCCTGTCCTTCATTTTTTGACTATATATTCATTGTTCAAAGGGGTTTCACCACAGTATCTCACCTGTAAATATATTGCACTTTAATCAGTTTATTCCCCTCTATTACTCCTCCTTACCCTTCTCCCCACCCCCATCCTCATCCCCTACTATTCATCTTTGCTTTTTTGAGACAGGGTCTCACTAAGTGCCCTAGACTAACCTTGAACTCTGGATCCTCCCACCAGCACCTTCCAAATGCTGGTTTAACAGTTGTGTGCCACCATGCCTAGCATCATCTTCGCATTTTAAAAAATTCACTCTGGTAGCCCATGAGATGGAGGGATAGGGGAAGGGCAGAGGTAATGGAAGCAGTAGAGAAGGCTCTTGGAATTGTCCAAGCCAGAGATTATGACACCTGAACCAAGGCAGTGGAGGTCATGAATTGGGAGATTCTGAAGTAGAAAAAAATAGAGACTTTGGTGGTTAGTCAAAAGAACAAAGACTCTAAAGGTAGCCTGATACAGGTTCACATTCTAATTCCCCCTCTATTTCCTCATTCATAAAATAGTGCTTTTTTTTTTTATAGAGAGTTGTTTGAGGCTATTGAGATCACACATACAATGCACCTGTTAGAGATTGTGACATGTCAGTAAGAATCTCTTAAAAAGCTAATCCTGTTATTATTAGATATTGAGTAGAGAGGAGAAAACCAGGTTAGCTTATGAAAATCCCATTTATTGAGATCAAGAACACAGAAGGAAATGGTGAGTTCAGTTTTGGACACATTGAAAGCACGGTTCCTGTACAGCATATGATTGGGATGTTGAGATAGCAAACGGATGTTGGAGATACTTGGATTGGCCTGGAATTTCCTTTTCTACTGTAGGCTCCTTTTGGAAAGGACATGTGAGTTCTGAGGGCAATCTTAGGTCCTGGGAGACATGGAACACAAACACGTTTCATGTTAAATGGGGGGGCTTTTAAGCTCTTCTTAGAAAGAGCATAATTGCTTTCATTGTCTAAGCCACTGACACCATAACATTTCTGGAAATGTACAGTTGTACCATTTGTTTTAAATAGTTCTCAGAGATGAAATAGAAATTTTGCTTCAATTCAGATAGTAAACTAATCTGAGCTACTTAAATGAGTAATTAATATATGGAAAATATTTATAACAGTTCTTCCATAGCAAAAATGGTTTTAAATAGAAGTAAACAAAAATCTAAGTTAAAAATAACGTTACCATGCCACCTATTCAAAACAGGTCATTTTGATTGTACTTTCCATCCCCAGCATTTCAGACTGCTTCCAAACTGCCTCCATAGCAATTATCTTACCCTTGACCCTCACCCAACCCTTGGGAGATGGGTAACAGAAGTGTTATTGTCCCTATTTCACAGATCAAGAAAGTGAGGCACCAAGAGAGAGTGTTTCATTGCAGGTCCCTGTGAGACATAGTGAGAATATCGGGATGAAGACTGACCCTCGACTAGTGTCTGTCCACTGCGGCCTTTTGTGTGAATAGTGATTGGTATTATTTTGAGGGACCTGCAGGGAGCATTGGAGAGGAGCTTTCAGTTTCAAATAGCAATGGATGAGTTTGGAACCCTTTAAGGGCACCAGTTTTCTTGGGATGTTTCAGTGCAAGTTCTAAGCATCACCTTCAGCCAAAATGTGTGGGTAGAGGGTGTTGCTCACTGATGAGGCACCTTTAGGTGATGCTTGAGTGTCTGCAGCTTTTGTGGACTTCCCTGCAGGTGGCTTGCAAGCATCTATGCCATCTGCGTTGGGCCTTAGACACAATTTTATTCCAGGATGATGAGTTAGAAAAACATGGGCTTTGGAGTCAGGCAGCACTGGGTTTGAATAGTTGTTCTACTACCTGGTACCTGGATGTCCTTGACTTCGCTGAGTCTCCATCTGCCTTTCCTTATAGAATGGAAGTAATTAAACTTCCACAGTAATGTTCTTCTGATGTTTAAATAGAATAAATGCTTACATATGTGTAACAATAGATAACAATTTACCTAACTCTTTGTTTTCCAAATGATTTACAGTGTTCCATTTAATTTTGAAGTAAGTCAGTTTTACCAATGAGGTACTTGAGACCTAGAAAAGCTGTCAGGCAGTACACGGTCAAATGCATGAACTCTGGAGATGGATGGATGGGTATGGATCTCAGCTCTGCCTCCTGTTAGCTGTGTGACCTTCCTTGGATAAGTTACTTAACTTCTTTCACTTCAGTTTCCTCATCTATAATATGAGATAATACTAGAGTGTATTTCATTGGGATATTATGACTAAATGAGTCACTAATATATGTAAAACAGAATAGTGCCTGGAAATAGTGACACAATGTACTAGTTCTTACTAAGTAATTTGCCTAAGATAGCATTGGAAGTTAAGTGGCAGAGCCAGTATTTGAACCATGGCCTATCTGACTTCAAGATGTTTCCACTGCATCAAATTTTATCTTCTGGGAAACCTTTCCTGATCTAGACTGAGATTAGATATCTCTTGTTTGCACCTGTGTCCTTCCATTGCTCTACTGTATCTTGCTTTCTTGACTTGAACCTGGTATCTGGCTTAGTAAATGGTGGTTTTTATTTGTACTTGGCAGAAACTTTCAGAGTATCTCTTGAGGAGACCTGTTGGAGTTCCAGGATTCCTAGAAATGTGGTCATCCTCAGGTCCAGTGGGGCCGGGAGGGGCCACTGGGATGGTGTTTGTGTTGGGATCAAGGCTCATACTTGGGCAGGAAAATCAAGAATTTTGGCTGGCATTTAGGTAGGCAGGGTGGCTCCCCTCTTAGAACATGTTTTGGACCATCAGAAACCTTGTGTTCTTCATGCAGGTAATAGCTGCAACTGGAAGTGATGAGAAGTGCAAGCTGGCGATGCAGAGGGGCGCACAGTTCAGTGTGAACTACAGTCAGGGCAGCCTGAAGGAGGCGGTGAAGGAGCTGGTGGGCAGGAGTGGGGTGAACGTGGCCATCGACATGGTGGGAGGAGATATTTTCCTGGAGGCTCTCCGCAGGTGTGTGCAGTGGTCTGTGCAGCTGGGGCTCTGCTGAACCTTTCTGTACCTCTGTCTTCCTCTGGCCTTGCTTCTCTCTTGCCTTTGCTGTTCAATGCTCCTGTAGGCATCAACATGGACGAGAACAGCCGAGTGGGTGGATGACAAGGAATAGAAGCAGAGAAAATCAGGAAATGCTTAAATATAGCAAAAACAAAACACCCACTGGAAAATATCCAAAAAATGACTGCAGACTCTCTAGTTGGCAATGTCAAGTGCTTTAAAAATTGTACATGTGTTAAATTCAGCTATGCTGGCCCCTACTAACTACTTTATCTACATGGATATGGGGGATTCTTAAGGAGATTATCGTTCAGATGTTAGAATTACTGGGGTGGCAGTTCTCCCTTCCCTAGTTCACTGTGCACCAAGGTATAAGCTCTTCTGATCTTACTGGTTTGTGAAGCAGATAGCATTGTGTTGCCTTAGTTTGTTTTGTTAAAAAATGTACCACAGGAGATTTAGTGGGATTCATTGTACTTTTAACCAGGGATCTTAGAATTCTCTGAGAATATTGGTTTCCTTCTTCCCTCTCAATTATTCTTCCTCCTTCCCTCCTTTCTCTTTCCTTCCTTTCCGAAATGAGGTGTTGTTATGTAGCCCATGTCAGCTTTGGAACTTGCTATGTAGTTGAGACCAGCTTCAAACTTGGCAATCCTCCTGCCTCAGCCTTCCAGGTGCTGAGATTACGAGCATGTCCAGCCTGTTTTCATTTCTCATGTCATCCTGGCAAGCATTATTTTGTAGTTTGTTTAAGTTTAAAAGAGAAAAACAGAAGCAGAATGCACAGCTGACAACAGAAGGAATCGTGGTACGGCGGCGCCTGAGCTGAGAGGCAGGCAGTGTGTATGTCTGATGACCATTGCACGGTGCCTGGGATGGTGGCTAGAGAAGCAAAGGAAGCAGTGTGCAGGCCAAGTGGGCTCGCCCTTCTCCTGCTTCTCTTTTTGCTTTCTGGATAATCATGTATTGACAAAGCTTCTCATTTCCCTTCTGAAGAAGAGAAGCAAAAAAGCAAACACCAAACAAACATACATATATTTTCTAGCAAAGATGTGTGCAAAAGTTGTTTTTGTAACTCACTGAGTAGCATGCCCTCTGTGGTACTTCTCATAATGGGTTTAGAAAATTTGTGAATTTTTATAAATTATTCAAAATTTTCAAAAGAAGCACCATGACTTACAGGAACTCTAAATTCAGTCTTTGTGTAAAGCAGTGATTCTTAATTCCAATGTTTGTCTTATTCCTGCTGCTAAATTCAAATTCTTCAAACTGAGTTGTCTTTTTTTCCTTTTCTTTTTTTTTTTTTTGGCAGCACTGGGGTTTGAATTCAGAGCCAGTACTGTATGATTTGAGCCAGGTCTCCAGCCCCTTTTGCTTTAATTTGTTTTTTAGATAAGGTTTTTCACTTTTACCACAGCCTCCAACCATGATCTTCCTATCTCACCTCCCAAGTAGCTGGGATTACTGGTGTGCATCACCATGCCTGACCAAACTGAGTTGTTTTGAAGTACAGCCTAAAGAATGATATTTGTTTATATTCAGGTCCTTCCACAAAATAACTGGAGCAGTTAAACAGACAGCCTTGGGCTGGAGGCATGGCTCAAGTGGTAGAGCACCTGCCTAGCAAGTGCAAAGCCCTGGGTTCAAACTGCACATGGCTTGTTTCCACCTCTTGGCTGTTATGAATGTTGCTGTTATGAGCATAAGTGTGCAAAATACCTCTTCAAAAATCTGCTTTCAGTACTTTTGGATGTACACCAGAAGTAGAATTGCTGGACCTATTTTTAATTTTTTGAGGACACTTCAGACCATTTTCCATAGCAATCATATCATTTTACAATCCCACCAATAGTGCACAAAGATTTCAATTTCCCCATATCCTTGCCAGTGCTCGTTATTTTCTATTTGTTCATTTAACCTAATGACTGTAGCTATCCAGTGGTTCTTAGCGTTTTCTTTCCTTCTCCTCTCACCATCAGCCTGGCGTGGGAGGGCAGGATTGTGGTGTTGGGATTTGCTGGAGGAAGCATTGCATCTGTGCCCTCCAACCTGCTGCTACTGAAGAACATCTCTGCCATGGGGCTGTACTTTGGTCAATACAAACAGGAGAACTTTACGGTCTTCTCCAAGAGCATGTCGTCCGCACTTCAGTACTGCCAGCAGGGACGCATACAGCCACACATTGGAGCGGTGTTCAAGCTGGAGGAGGTGAGACATGCCATAGGAATGGGGTACAAATAAGGCCAGGAAACAATCTCTGTCAAACTGCTGGTGTGTTTATCTCTGGGTGCTATACATCCTTCTTTTAGGGATTGAAGAGGTGAAAATGCCACACCTGAATCATTGGGTCTCCCAGGCACCAGGGTCAAAAGATTCCTGCCAGTCTTCTGGGTTGTGTAGCTGTTAACTTAGACCCAGTGTAAAACTGAATTTTGAGACCTTGTCTGCATGACTAGTATCTCAAACAGTAGAAAGTTATGGTACTTTAGAAAATAATTTACACGTGTTGATATGAACCTTGAACTCCACAACACATAAGCCTAAGAAGGAAACACTTGACTTGACCTTTGATTTTCAAATATAGACACTTCAAAGTACAACCAGATGATCTAAGCTGGAGTTCTGAGTGCAGAACATAAATCATGCCTGGTATCATAAGACTGTAATTCATCCATTAGTCACTGTAGTTAATTGTGTTGGCTTTTCACTCCCTTTTTCGTTCCCCTATGGTCTCATTAGCGTGGCTTGAACTTCCTACAAAGTGTAATTGTGTACATGCACATGTGAGATAGCTGTAAATGAGAATCTGTTAGCCATTCACGGAAAAGTCTTTGTTTTTTCTGGCATAATTTGTTTTAGTGCTCAAAAACCTGTTTTTTGTAGCTCTAGTCATTCATAGATAGAGGCAGTGTTTTGTTCAAAGGCAGATTAGTGAGGCTTAAGCTGTCAGTGCCAGGCTTCACTGATTACCAGCCTTCCATTTTCGTGTTTGCTCCTGTGACAAGGCACATTCTTTTCAAACAGCTTATGTCCTCTTGGTGTGTGTCAAGAAGATAGTGCATTTATAAAGAGAACCTGACTGACCGTTACAAACTGTTCAGATTCCAGTTCCAGCTATGGTTTGTGGAAGTTCCGTCCCCTTGCTGACTTTCAGTGTCCACAGATGGGACATTGTTAGTGGCTTTCAGGTTATACGTTAGGTGTCGATGGGAGGTGGGCAGGTGTAGACTAGAACTGGCTGGGTTCAGGGACCTCTTCTCTGCTGAGGCCTGAGTGGCTGCATATTTTTACTTTTTCATTTAAGAAAAGGTTTTGTGGCATAAATACTTGAAAACTATCAGTTTAGATAATTTCTGGATCCCCTTCCCATCTGGTGGCTTTTATCATTGTATGACTTATATTGAGGTTTGCTTTGCCTGAGGCTATCCCTGTTGGTAGAGGAAGAGGACATTTAGGCAGTGTGAGTGGAGTAGAAACAAGTGTTAGTTTGAATGTCGCCTTTCCTTTCGGCATTGATGCGTTGTTTGGTGCTGCTCAGCCATGACAACAGGCCAGAGGTGGACTATCATTTAGAGGTCTCTCCTCTTAAACACAATTAACTCTAATTACTAACTACCCATCAGCTTCTATTTGCCCTTCCTCATCCCAGTGAAGGACCCCCAGGAGGGAATTTTATAGTTTGCCCTCCTCCACTTTGGTTTTATCAGGTGATTTTTGGAGCCATGCTTCCTAACACACTTCAGTCATCTCATTCACATACTATCCATTTACTGTTTCTTCTCTTTCTCTTTCAATATGCAAATGATTTAGAGGAATAACAATAATATGCTAAGTACTTTGCATGTATTATCCCATTACCTTCAGAACAACTCTTGGAGGAATGAACCATTTTTATCATATTTTTCAGGTGAAGAAATCAGACTGATAGAAACTAAGAAACCTGCCCAATGATATGGAGTGTCAGAGCTGACACTCCCCACCTGGTCTGTCTGACCTCACCATCTGACTCTTTACAGCTGTCAGACTCTCTCCTTAAACAACCCCCGTGTCTTGCACACCTTATTCTATAATATTAGATTTATCCATCTACCACAGAACTATCTATGTGGAAGGACTATCTTGTAATTAAAATGAGCAGGGCAGGCCACACAGGCTGCAGGCACTGCTACTTGCCCTGTGAGGTCTATGTTGGTGGTGAGCTCACTCTGTGTGGTGTTTTCTGTCTGCTCTATTATATGTAGCTGAAATTTGGGCCTTTGGCCCAACCCATTAGACTTCACCTTTGGAGAAGCTGTGGAAAGATCTAGAAGAGGTAAGATGTTTCTGGGAAAAGAGTCACTAGGAAAAGCGTGTGGTGCACTTACACTTGAAAAATCCAAGATTAAGACAGAAGTAAAAACAGAAAGCAACAGAAATCACAGAATAAACCAGACATTGAAAAGCACCACACTGCGGTGGTTCCCATTACAACAATGACACTCAGTGATTATGGGTGGGATCAGATAAATTTGTAAAAATCTACATTACCATAACTGGAATTTCAAGTTCCCAGTGAGAATGTACAGGGCATTTCAGAGAAAGGACACTGGATCTTTTGGGAAAGAATTTGGATTGGAAGAGTTACTCCATGATTGTGAACGATCTCTTGAAACCCACCTATAGATAACAGTTTGAAAACAGTCAAGTCTGATACAGTTCTTATGACTGAAAGAGAGTGGAAAATGCATGGTGAGACTACCTGCAAAGAGAAAGAAAAACCTTCCAGGACACTGAACAGATCCTAGTGGGGGTTAATGAATGTTTAAAAGAAAATGCATGAAGGCGGAGATGATGATGGGAAGAGAGCCATTAATAAAGCCTGGCTGGAAACAAGAGAGAAGCAAGCCATAGGGGACACAAAACTTTGAGACTTTTAAGTCCTTTTGGGAACTGTGAGGTGGAAATACTAATGTTTCCAATAAGGCAACAGTGGTGAGCTGCACCTATAAATTTGACAGATAACTATTTACATAGCTTTCTAAATAAAGGAGTGAATTCTCCACTTCTTACTGGAAGATTTATTTAAATACAGTATGCTTATTAAACATTTCCTTCAAAGATGGTTTCATTAGTACTTTGTTGTTTTGTTCAAGAAATGTTTTGTTTATTGAAATGTAAAAAGCAAATTTTACTATATCACATGTATTTTTGTCCCGCTTATAGGTAGAAAACTAAGGTATTTGCTTGCCTGGAAATTAATGACAGTAATATAAGAATAAATAAAAGTAAAGCCTGAGTTTTTACATTAAAATATGACCAGGATTCTTGTTTTTTCCTGAGAAGTATCAGAATTTGTATGTTTTGTTCTTTTAAAATGAAGATTCTTAATATATAATTAATTTCACTGAATTTTGAAGTCTGAGTAATTTTTTTCAAGTAGATTAGTTAACATACTATACAATTATTTATCAGAACCTGTTTGATCTTGGAAAGTAACCACTGAATTTATAAAATATATATAGTATCAGAAATACTTGTCTTCCCGGCTTGTATTTTCTCCTGAAATCTCAGATTTGACCTTGATAGTTATATTAATATGACCATAATTCTTTCATGATAGCTTTTTTAGTAGGCTGGAACTTAAATTTCTATAGGCTTTGTAATTACTTGTTTAATGTCTGTGTTTCCTGTAGGGTACGAACTTCACACAAACAATGGCCATGTGCTGTCTGTACTTCTGTATCTTCAGTTTCTGGCAATCATTCATGTATCTGTTGAATGACTGACTGAGGGTTGAGGCTCTGAGGTCAGACCACCAGAGTTCAGATAGTGTTTCTGGGCAAATCATGTCTTTGTGCCTTAGTCCTCATCCGTAATGAGACAGTAATATACCTTACCTCCTAGAGTGGTTTGGAGGATTAAATAAAATGATACATATAAAAGAACATAGTGAATTTAGTTTTGAATGGATAATATACCATTATTATAAAACACAGAATTGAGCTTTTTCTGTTCCCCTGAACACTTTTGCATTGATGTCTCAGAGGGCGGGATTAGAGTGATAATCTTCAGGTTTTGAATTTTCGCTAGAGTTTATTGTTTTCTGTAGAGTTATAACTGCTGTGATGGGTGGATCATGAATTGCCCTGTGATCTCTTCAGAGGATGGCATTGTTTAGATGTGCAGAGTCTATTTTCTGTTTGAAGCTGCCCACATACATCTTGACCTGACACAGTGCTCAAACCTCACAGATATGAACTTGTTTACTGTTAGGTGAGATCACCACATGAACAGATTTAATGGACAGGAATTGTTTGTTTGAAGTTTTCTCTATGTATCTGTGGAATATCCTTAAAATGAAACAATTATTTTAGTTTAGATGGTATATTAATTATAGCCATTGTTTCAGACCTAGTTTATGGAACTCCTTATATCTGTTACACTCCCTCTCCTAGGCCTTGGGGAACCCACTTGGCTGCTTGTCACACTTCTCTGGGGATGGCTCCTGCATCAGATCCCTGTGACCCTGTCCCTCGGATACATCTCCTTACACCTTTGATTGTCTCCTGCTTTCCTGGGGGAGGGCTGATCTTAGAGCAAGGCCTCCATTAGGCTTGTCAGGCAGGAACCACAGTTCTGGTGCAGAGGTTTGATCTAAACGGAACTGGCTTCCCCAGGAACTGTGTGAGGGCTGGGTAATACAGTCCAGAGCTGTGGGGAGTTTGCCTCATTGGGAGAGCTTTGGAGAACGAAAGGCAGGAAATAAATTGTTCCCCTTTCCTCCTCTACAATTGACTATTTCATCTGGCCTCTTATCTGCAGAGGTGCATGTGGACAGTGGCCAGCTTGTCCCTCTGAAACCACAGCCAGTTTAAGATCAGCAACACACGTCCTTGTAGTCTCTCTTTACTTGATTCAATTCCCTTTTTCCTCATCCTTGCCTTCCTGGGATTGCAACCTCCAATGATACATTAAGGAATACATTTTTATCAGGCTGTATTTTCTAAGGAACCCAGGCTGACAGTTAACTTAAAAATATATATACTTTTGTGTTTAGTAATGCATTGCCTGTCTTCTTTTCTCTTCTTTTTTTAAGCAGTACTGGGGTTTGAACTCAGGACCTCACACTTGTTGGCAGGTGCTCTACCTCTTGAGCCATGCCCCTAGCTCTGCCAAACTTTTTTTTAAGTCAAGTTATTGAGATATAATTTACATATAGCAAAATCCAA